TAATTTGTGTGTATATATATATATATATATATATATATATATATTATACATTTCAGATGTCTGCTGTTTATTCAAGGGCCTGATTACACAGCAGATGCCCTTTCTTTAATGCAGGAAAAAACAGCCAGTTTGCGTCATATTTAGATTTAGAAATTGCCTCAAGGATTTTGTTTTGTGATATAAAAATAGTGAAGTACAGGGGGAAAAATGGTAACAATGGCCATGGCAAACTCAAAATTACACAAGAAACCCAGTAGAGTACCTTTACTGAAACATACACAAGATTAATTTATTGAGGTCCCTACATCAAAGAGAAAAGCAGAACAACTCAGTCTGTGCCTCCTCTGTCTTTTAAATCACCTATTGTTGGCTAATTTCTCCAGTCTGATTGAGGTCAGATGTTGGAGGAATGAGGGGGTTCAGAAGTGTAAATTGGAAGATTATAAGCAAACATACTCTTCAGAACCCTCTGCATTTGCCCTCTAAGGTGCAAGGTTTCAAGTCTGGGCGTCAAATTGACTGCATCCTGTACTTAGTAGAGATCGCTCGCTGATGGAATGATAAGCTGTTGTTATCTCAAGCTGTCTCACAGGAGGCGACTGCTGCATGATGGGAAAATGGATGGAGATTACTTTGATCAACACTCTCATTAACTCTTCATTAAGTGAATGTCAAACCTACGTTCATTCACTCACATAGTAGACTTGTAATATTTTTTCCCCCTCTTGGTTTCTTGAGATGCAAGTTCTCTAAGAACTTTTTTGAATTGGGGTTAAAAAAGAACCACCTGAAACCATCTGAACTTAATAAAGAAAATATTAAAATATAATGATAACCCACACCACCGTATAAGTCTCTCAGGGCAGCCCAGACCGTCAGGGAGCTGTTGTTGGTGTTTTATCTTTACAGTCATTAAAACTTCTCTAATGCCTGAAAACAAATCAATTTTCCCAACATGCCCTAGTCAATGAAGGCAACAGAAATGAGGTCCACTGGTATTAAGTGTCCTTCGGTTTGGCATAGCAATTAAATATAACTTTTGCCTTAACATAAATTACCCTTACATAGACACACATCTAATCTGCAGTTACAATTTAGAAATTGTATAACCTTTTTATGATCATAATGACCCAAATTGCTTTTTAAGCCTTATACATGAAATAGTCTCAACAAATAGTCAGCTTGTGTAACATTGGTGCAGAGATTGACAGTAGATTGCTTACTGCCTTTTGATGAAATCCTTAATAGAGAGTTAGTTAATAATAAAAAAAATACTTAAAAAAAAAACTTGATATTGTTTTGCATTTTTATAATTTTTTTGACGCATTTTTATTGATTTATTTTTTGATTGTACAATCAAATTCTAGTGTTGATTTATCCACCTTTTTAAATTAATCATTGAAATGATGCACCAGTTTGTCATTTAATTAATTAATTTATTTGGATCCCCATTAGCTTCTACAAAGTGGTTGATAATCTTCCTGTGGTCCACATAAAGTTGATTTTCAGTTGATTTTTATTTCTTAGTTGATTATCATTTTCTCAACTGATTATTGAATTTTGGCCCCCATATAGGATGTGAAATATGCCGTGACGTGTCCGAATAGCCTATTTTTTTGTAATTCTCTGACACAACGTAAACTGTTGTGTATAGTTGTCCTGTTTCAAACAGTGTGATAAACTTCACAAACAACAATTATATATAAATGTATTTATTATTAATACATTCATGCATGACTGTGGTGGACTTGAAATCAAGGTTGAGCTGCACATTGGCAGTGATTTGAGTGCAGTCCACTCTTGCTGACAGTAGTGGTGTGTGAGTTAGTGGGACACGTAGACTATTGGCAGAGCACTGATAAGACTCGGCGCTGAAGTGGCGGGCGGCTGTGTGCGGGTGAGCTGATAATGTTCAGGATTGTTGACTTGTACTCCATAGACTTATTCACGGCTTTATGACAAACTTTTCAGCTGAGCACCACCTCCTCGTCGCCCTCATTTTTACCCCAGCAGATTCGTGCCCTCCGGACCCTTTGTGTGCATATCTCCACTATTCTGATGATCCAGCCACCCTTTTTCAGCCAATTGGTGTTAAGATGTGGTCACACTAGGCTTTTAGCATGCAAAATTGCTTTTGCCCTGACTAAGAACATCAGTGACAGTCAATTTGTGACTTTTACATCCTCTCTTGGTCAAAAACATCTTTTGGCTTTTCACAAAAGAAAACTTTTTGCATGTAATTTTGTTTTCGCCCTGGAAATATCGGGATTTTCTTTCTCCTTTGAGAATTAAGAAATGAGAGAGTCTAACAGCTGTTCAGTTGAAAGTCGGCCAGGTCCAGGGTTGTGTTTATGTTCTTATTGCTTTCCTCGTCTCTGCTGTCCTGTGGTGCCTCAAGCAACGTTTGTGTTGTGAAAACTTGCAGATTTTAATTGAGTTTTCAATTGGTAAAAGATTCTGTTCTGCTGCTTATGAACTCAGCGGATCTCAGCCGTCACAGGCAGCTCAACTGAAACTAGATTACTCTGGATTTAAAGGCTACAGCTCCGCAGCACTGGAGGAAGCCTAAGTTTGCTGGTGTGAACAACAAGCATCTCAGATTTTATTGTTTTTCCCAAACTTTTACAAGACATAATCATATTACTAAATCTTTGTAACTTGCCATAAAGCTGAAGTGTGTAATTTCTTCACCTTTAGGGCAACCAAACTGCAGATTGCAAAAATAATTGCTTCCAGATATGTTATACTGCATCGTCTTCGATGTTCATCAAACAGATAATACCGCCCCAAATTCATGCCATTGGTTGTGCTGGAAGTCGACCACTGAAACACAGTGTTGCAACATTTACACTTTTTATTTGACTGTGCACAATAAACTGGGGTGGTATATTAACATTTATACAAAGACATCCTTTTAAATGTTTGGGTTATATTTAAATGTATTTTATTTTATTTAAGGACTGTTTTGAATTTTTTTCATTTGATTGCACTTCCTAATGTGTGTTATGTTTTGTTCCCAGCATTAACCATTCAAAGGAATTGTGACGGTCCCCTTTCAGCCCCACAAAATCGGTCTGTAGCTGATATAGAGGAACTGGCTGCCAACTATGAGCGTAAACTCATTGAGGTGAGTACTGGAGCTACCAAAGCAAGCAGCACTTGTCCTTTCCTTCTCTAACCTCAAAGTCATGTAATGTAAACCAACATTTACCACTCCAAATTTCAGCAAACAGGTTTAATAACATCGGTAATAACTATATTTCAATTTCTTACAGCATTTTATGTGTGATTTCTATGAAAGGTGCAGTGTGTAGATTCAACATTACATACTTTATATGCTGTCTAGGTTCATTTTTTGGCTGCGTTTACACTGCAAGTCTTAATGCACAGATCCAAACTTATGACCATATCTGATTTTTTGGCCTGCCTGTTCACATTCACTATAGACACGACTGGTATCCAATATCTGTGTTTACATTTATTCCCACCCAAAATGATTGTCAGAGACCGCTTTACTATGCACACTATGGACCCTTTGGTTTTAAATGGCCGTGCTATTGAAATTATTGATATTTTATTTCATGTCGAGTAGCCATTAGTGTTGTCACGATACCAAAATTTCAGTATTCGGTACCAATACCAGTGAAAATCCACGGTTTTCGGTACCAAAGCAAAACACAAAAACATGCTAATTGAACAACATTTTTATTAATAACGTTAAACAAATATTACCTGCTTGAACTTGATCGGGGTGTTTTGTTAGTTTGATGCGTTTCCTCCTCTTGAGGTCGCCACTGCTTTTAAGAAGAGGTTGCCAGGTTTTCACAACAAAACCCGCCCAATCGCGTTTCGAGGGGATTCCCCCGTTAAAAATCGCGTTCCGAGGATAAAATACGCATGTTTTGGCGGGGTTCCCCTGGTAAAATTCTCATTCCAGGGGCTAAATATCACGTAAGTGGGGTCGTTTTTCAACCCGCGGACATGAAAAACAACCCGCGGCAACAGTGTTAAAGCAGCCCAATTCCGCGGGACCACCGGTACTTAAGAAAACCCGGTACCGTAACGTTTTCATTTTTTTTGTACCGACTTGGTACCGAAATACAGGGTCTTTTGACAACATTAGTAGCCATTATTATTTGCCAGAATAGACACCAGCTGTCATGGATGTTTTGCAGTACAAAATCTGACTGAATGGATAAAGACTGTAAAATAACTGTAATTTTTATTTGTCATTTGTCTACAGCTCGTTAGATGTAGAATTCTGAAGTGAAATAAAGTAGCACTGTAAGATTATATTTGAAGGAAGGAATTTGAATGAATTAATGAGAGAGAATGTGAACATGTGAGCGAGTAGCCTAATAGTGAAGATTGCTTAATTACAAAACTAGAGCCCGACCGATATATCGTTTTACTAATTTTATCGGCCGATATGAGCCTGTCGCAGATATATCGGTATCGGCGAATATGCCGCCGATATGCCACCGATATGAAATTTTTTTTTACAGAACATAAAACGCAGATAAAATGCTTGTAAATGGTGTAATTACGTAGTTTGTCCAGCAGAGCACGCTCCATTGTTTGCTACTGGCGACCTGGATGAAACACTTTAAAGCTTAAGTGTATGGAATACCATTGAAACTTTGAACGGCCATATCTCAGTAACAGCGTGGCGGATCCGTACCAAATTCGGGGGATCCCTTCAGCTCGA